ATAGCTGGCGCCATGGGCTACGTCGATGGCACGCTTTCTGCTCCCGCCAAGCTTCTGGACCCCGATGACAAGGGGGTGTATGCTCCCAATCCGGAGTATGCCACCTGGTTTCACCAGGATCAAATCATCCTCAGCTACCTCCTCTCCTCTCTCTCCGACGAGGTGCTGCAGCAAGTGCATCAGTTGGACACCTCTCGGGCCATCTGGTCTCATGTTGAGGAGATGTACACCGCCCACTGCCGCGCCAACATCGTCCAGATCAAGATGGACATGGCGGTCTTTAGGAAAGGCACTCTGTCCATGGCGGATTACTTCGCCAAGATCCGCGCCAACGCCGACCAGCTTGCAGCTGTCGGCCGTCCCATGCGTGAGGAGGACATCATCACCGCTGTCATCACCGGCCTCAACAGCGACTACGAGCCCCTCATCACCTCGTACACCACCCGTCCCGAGGGCATGTCTCTTGGTGAGTTTTACTCTCATGCGATCTCCTTCGAACGGCGCCGCGAGTACAATGCTGCTCGCCAACATGGCGGCTCCTCCGTCAACTACGTCGCCCGAGACTCCAACGGCAACACCAACAACTCCAATCGGGGCAAGGGCAACTACCGTGGCAAGGGCCGCGGTAACTCCGGAGATCGCGGCAACTACAACAACAACTCTCGCGGTGGTGATCGCGGGAACCGCGGTGGCGGCGGCGCGCGCCAACAAGGCGACTTCGGTGGAAATCGCGGTGGTGACCGCGGTGATAACTGCGTCCAGTGCAAACTCTGCCGCGGCCCTGGGCATTACGCCTGGGAGTGTGGTCAACGCTATAATCATGCGTTTCAACCGCAACAGTCCAAGATGGCCGGGCTTGCCACTGCTTCTCCTCCTTCCATCTTACGTGATCCTGCTTGGTTCACTGACACCAGCGCCACACGGACCACATCACCGGCGATCTGGATCGCCTCACCGTCCGGGAGAAGTACCCAGGAAGAGATCGCATCCACACTGCTGACGGATCAGGTTTGCACATAGCTCATCGTGGTCATGCAATTCTTCCTACCCCCTCTGCCAATCTCAAACTTCGCAATATTTTGCATGTTCCTAATGCTGACAAGAACCTTCTCTCTGTCAATCGTCTTGCTGTTCATAATCATGCTTATCTAAAGTATTATCCTACTCACTTTCTCATGAAGGATTTGATCACCAAGAGGGTTCTACTTCAAGGCAGATGTGAGAATGGGCTATACCCCATTCGGCCGTCATCCCATCATGCCCTGTCTTTGGTTCGACTGTCAGCTGGAGATTGGCACGCCAGGCTTGACCACCCATCCATTCAAGTCGTTCAGCATGTTTTATCATCCAATAAACTAGCTTCCTCTAGTCGGTCTATGACCCATGTGTGTAATGCATGTCAACAAGGCAAAGCACACCAGCTTTCCTTTCCTAGATCATCGAGTGTCTCTTCTTCTCCATTAGAACTTATTTTTTCGGATGTGTGGGGACCTGCCAAAACTTCTTCTGGTGGGTTCCAGTACTATGTTTCATTTATCGATGATTATAGTCAATTTGTGTGGATCTACCTTCTCAAGAGAAAATGTGATGTGTTTGAAGTTTTTCGTGACTTTCTTGCTCATGTTGAACGCCTTCTATCTCGTAAGATTTTATGTGTTCAATTAGACTGGGGTGGGGAATACGATAAGCTTAGCAACACGTTTTTTCGCCAACTTGGCATTCTGCATCACGTTTCTTGCCCACACACACACACCAGCAAAATGGTTCGGCCGAAAGGAAACACCGTCATATCATTGACATGGGACTCTCTTTACTATCACATGCGTCCATGCCACTTCGGTTTTGGGATGAGGCCTATCTCTCGGCTTGCTACCTCATCAATAGACTCCCTAGTCGTGTCATTGGCAATCTTAGTCCTATGGAAAAACTCTTCCAAACCAAACCGGACTACACGTCTCTTCGTACATTTGGTTGTGCTTGCTGGCCCAATATGCGTCCCTACAACACGCACAAACTTGCCTTTAGAACCCAACAGTGTGTGTTTGTTGGCTATAGCATTCACCACAAAGGATATAAATGTCTTCATCTACCCACGGCTCGTGTCTATATCTCTAGGGATGTCACGTTTGATGAAACAGTTTTTCCTTTTGCCAACCCTTCTACCTCTCCCAGACCACCTCGCGTTGCAGAACAAACCATACTTTTATTTCCGCATGACCACATGAACTATGGTATACCTGCTGTGTCTACTAATCTAGATGCAGGATCCCCTTTGGCGCAGACGATCCCAGGTACGGCAGGCAATCTTGCGTCCGAGGAAGATCTGGGCACGGGATCCGGAGTGGATCCGGCCTTGGATCATGTGTCAATCCCGGCCAGCGGCCCGTCAGGCGGTCGCGGGGCGCCGTTGGCCCACATGGCGCCTTCTGACGGCCTGGTCACCCCATCGCCCGACCCGCCCCCTTCAGTGGTGGGGCCTGGCACGGGCCCGCCCCCTGTCGCCTCCAACCCACTGCAGGCAGGCGCCCACGTGCCCGCTCGCCAGCGGGTGGGCCGGCCTTGTCCCACGTCAGGAGCGCCCGCGTCGCCTGGTCCCTCCTCGCGATTGCCGCAGGATTCTCCTGCTGCACCTGCTGGCGACACGGGATCCCAGGAGGATCCGATGCCGTCTGTCGTGTCCGCTGGTGGCACGGGATCCCAGGTGGATCCTCTTCCCTCTGCAGGTCCCGCCTCTGGATCTTCTGCGCCCAGGGCTGCCGCACCGCCTGCACATACGATGATGACACGCACACGCGATCATACTCGCAAGGCTGTGCAACATACGGATGACACCATTAATTATGACCCATCCAGATGTGCTTTTCTGGTCTGTCGGGAACCTCGTGATCATCATGAAGCCATGGCATCTCCGGCTTGGCGTGCCGCTATGCAGTCTGAGCTTGATGCACTTCGTCACAATGGCACGTGGACTTTAGTTCCACCACCACCTCATGTCAATGTCATTGACTGCAAATGGGTTTTCAAAATCAAGTACAAAGCTGATGGCACTATTGATCATCACAAGGCACGTCTTGTTGCCAAAGGGTTCAAGCAACGCTATGGTCTTGACTATGATGATACGTTCAGCCCCGTTGTCAAACCAGTCACTGTTCGTTTGGTCCTTTCCATTGTTGTCTCCCGCGGTTGGTGTCTGCGCCAATTGGATGTTCAGAATGCTTTCCTTCATGGAGTTCTCCAGGAACAGGTATATATGCGGCAACCTCCTGGATTTGTGGATCCCAATGCTCCTCGGGCTCTATGCAAACTGCAGAAAGCTATCTATGGACTCAAACAGGCACCTAGAGCCTGGTACTCTAGGATCAGCTCTCGACTGCTTCAGCTTGGCTTTGTGGCTTCTAAAGCAGACACTTCCCTGTTTATCTTTCATCGTGGCAGTGTCACCATGTTCATGCTTGTCTATGTTGATGACATTATTGTTGGGGAACGTAGCAGAATTTAAAATTTTCTACGCATCACCAAGATCAATCTATGGAGTTATCTAGCAATGAGGGAAAGGGGAGTGCATCTACATACCCTTGTAGATCGCGCGCGGAAGCGTTCAAGAGAACGGGGTTGATGGAGTCGTACTCGTCGTGATCCAAATCACCGATGACAGAGCACCGAATGGACGGCACCTCCGCGTGCAACACACGTACGGTTGGGAAGACGTCTCCTCCTTCTTGATCCAGCAAGGGGGAAGGAGAGGTTGATGGAGATCCAACAGCACGACAGCGTGGTGGTGGAAGCAGCGGTGATCTCGGCAGGGCTTCGCCAAGCTCAGCGAGAGGGATGGTGTCATGGGAGGGAGAGGGAGGCGCCAGGGGCTTGGGTGCGGCTGCCCTCCCTCCCCCCCACTATATATAGGGCCCCTAGGGGGGTGGCCCTAGAGATTGAATCTCAAGGGGGGGCGGCCAAGGGGGGTGGCATGCCCCCCAAGCCAAGTGGGGCGCCCCCACCCCTAGGGTTTCCAACCCTAGGCACAGGGGAAGGCCCAAGGGGGGCGCACCAGCCCACCAGGGGCTGGTTCCCTTCCCCACTTCTGCCCATGGGGCCCTCCGGGATAGGTGGCCCCACCCGGTGGACCCCCGGGACCCTTCCGGTGGTCCCGGTACAATACCGGTGACCCCTGAAACTTTCCCGATGGCCGAAACTGGACTTCCTATATATAATTCTTCACCTACGGACCATTCAGGAACTCCTCGTGACATCCGGGAACTCATCCAGGACTCCGAACAACTTTCGGGTTACCGCATACTAATATCTCTACAACCCTAGCGTCACTGAACCTTAAGTGTGTAGACCCTACGGGTTCGGGAGACACGCAGACATGACCGAGACGACTCTCCGGTCAATAACCAACAACGGGATCTAGA